GTATGTATATATATGGGTGTGCGTGCTTCCCCCTCCAGGAACACCCCCTGATTACGGCATCACCTTTTCTACCCGTGTGTTCATTCATCGGCTCTGCAAGCTCAAACGGATGATTGCGAGAAAGAGATAAAGAAGAGAGATAAATCGTCCCCTAAAGGTACCGATCGATGTTACCCATTTGCTTAATAATAATACCAACACCCCGGCCCAGACTCCACCTCACGCGATGAATGGCACCCTTCGTTGCATCGTATGGTTTAGTAGAAGTCGCACATCGAGGCAACAAATCCAAGAGCACCGCGGATGGTGTCGGAGAGCTGCAGGTGCTTGGGTGTGATCAAGGCAATGGTCTTATGCAGCGGAACGATCGCGCCGGGGGCGTTCGGCAGCAGCTGCAGGCCATCCTTCGGCATGCAGGTCAGCGCGAACACAAGGAAGCAGCCGAGCTTCAGCAGCGTCACGAGGAGTTGGTTGCGCTCCTTCTTTGATGTCTTACTGTGTGTCAGGACGTATATCTGGCGCACGACGCCCAGCAAAAGTGTGTAGAACCAGCACACCGTGGCATACTGACCAAAGCTGCGCAGCTGAGTGCATAATGCGCCATGCTTAGCGAGAGTCGTGGTGTTTTCAAATAAGCAGAAAAGCACGTGGAAGAAGTGGGTCAGCTGGTCGGAGCGCTCGAGGTACGCGTCGCCCTGCGGCTTGGCAAGCGCGGTGAGGTTTTCCTTTGAAACCGCACGCAGGAGAAGGGAGAGACGTGTAACCGCGCGATACGCGTCCGCCATATTGGACAGGTTGAAGAAGGCCTTGCTGAGCTCTTCACTGCCGGTCAGTGCTTTGACGGGCCCAGCCAACATCATAGGCGCGAATTGGACAATAGCCATCACCTTGTCGCGGTTCCAGGTGTCGGCGAGGTACTTGTTGCACTGTTCACTCATTTTGGCGGTGTATATTTGCTTGATAGTGGTGAAGTTAGATGAGATGGATTGATAGCGAAGCTTTCGAAGAGGAGGTGAAACAAGAGAAGTAGAATCTATAATACCAGAAATCCATCCACGCAGAGCAGTCGTGTCAGCTCGAATAGCACAGCATCGTGCCTGGAGAGTCACCCGGTGCATATCATTTCAGAGGGAAAAACAGAAAAATAATGATAGTGATAATAATAATACTAAAAGAAGAACAAACAACAACCTCTACGAATTTAGCTACCAAGCATTCCAGAAGCCTTGCCTACGAAGTCCCTTAAACGTGTCATCCACGAACATTACCACCACCATCCATCTTTAGCCTGCGTTCATACCATGGATGCCAATATGCATCATATAGACGATGAGTTCGTGTTTCGGAAAATGGTTTGTACACGAAATATCCAAAGTACAGTCCAACTGCACCACCTACCCCCCCAAGCATCCCTACTAGCATTTTTATACCTTTTGGTGTTAACATGCCATAATTCATTAGCCCTAATGAGGCTCCACTCATGATACCACACCCAAGCCCGCAGCTAGCTACATGCCACCACGCTCGATCTGGTGATGAAACTTCGCCACTCCATGCTACTGAAGCTAAGCTACTAAGTACTTTGCCTATAAAAACACCACCGATGCCAGCAAAGGCTGCCCCAGAGGATTTCGTAACTGCTAACGTGATTTCTTGGAAAGCAAGCCGACTAAGTGTAACTCCGTTAAGCTTTGCGTATACCTTGTCCATCGTACGATATAGATATGATGTCCGACCAACGCCGTAGCACAGGCCTACGGTTGTGGTTATTCGAAGTAAGTAAACCATACACTCGAATGGTGAATCAATGATTTGATCGATCCAGTGAATTTGTAGTCGGTTGAGCATCTTTTTTCGGTCCTCACTCCACATCTGATATCGCGGGTCAGCCTCATAGTTGTGCAACGCAAGTCGTGCTTTAGTCTCCTTTTTTTTACTTATTAGCTCCTCAGCGATATTCATTTCCTTACCGAATCGCGCAAGAAGACACTCAATGGATTCAACATCAGGGTTGTTGATGCGCCCATCTCGCCTACCTATGGCGCTCTGAGGAATGCGAAGACGGTCAAACTCAGAAGTGTAGCTTGCGACATCACCTTCGCCCTTCCGACGGTCCTTGGCATCATCTTTATTAAAAAAACCGCTGTGGGCAATATTTGTAATGGGTTTAATCTCGGATGCTGCATCATTGCTCGACCCGAGCTGTGGAAAGAACCACATAGGCATCCTGGGCAATAGAAAAAAATACAACTTATAAATATATGCCTTTTGCGGAGCAAAATTGTTATTCTCTAAACATACAGAGGAGCTATAAATCCTATAAATTTAGCCTCTAGTAGTGAATCGAGACTCGAAAATTAACGTTTGAAGCAGAGAACAATAGCACTATAGAAATTCTTTAAAAAATCATGAACAGATCATGTTAGAGAACGCAGGATATAAAAAAAAAGCACATGAAATATATATATATATATATACTTCACCCTTAAAGTATCTCGATAAATCAAATAAAAGTACAGGACCTATTCAAAAAGTCTTACTTGAAGCTGCCACAAATAAAGAAACGAACACACAAAAACTTTGTTGTACATGTGAAGCACACATTCACGACAATGCATTTTTTTCCCCTCGACTTTTTCCTATGATGCACATCCCAATTGAACCACGCGATATTTATTGAATACTCTGTGTTCCTAATATTATTTTGGAACCACCCTTCCCACAAAAACCCTTCCCACAAAAAAGAAATTGTATTCTATCACTTCTACATTCTTTCTCTTTAATGAAAACGACAAAACACAACTTTGCACCACATATTTGCATATACACAATTATTTTCATTTTTTAAAAAGTGTAACCCTATTTGTATATGCGATAAAAAAATCCTTTGAAAGAACGCAATTCATCGATCTCCAATGACTCTTTTTTCTCCTATTCTTCGTACTATTTTAAACTAATAGCTAGCACTTCTAGTAAAATTTTACGTTGACCATATATATATAAATAAAATCGACGTATTTAGAAGTAATCAAAATGCTAAAAAAAACAATGTATATAATGCAAAAAGATGATTTTCAAAAGGGGAGCTGCTTAACTGCAGAGGCACTCCATATAAATAGAAGTCCTGTGAGTAATCGTTCCCCGCAATAATGCGTTGTTTGAACCATTCACTATATTATATGCTTTTCATTTCGAACCAGAAGCAATTACTCGCCTGCGATTACCCGATTTACGAGACATCTCCATGCGCAATCTTTTGTTTTCCTCCACTAGCGTATCAAGACGAGCACGATAGCCCTCTTGCTTGGTCTGCAACGTTTCCAGAAGAGTCCTGATCTGGTTATCTGCATTGATATGCAGAACATCCCCATGGCGTACGTTGAGGTTATGTTTATCAATAAGATGTTGCAACTTCTCCTCCGTGGCTTGGATCACGCTTTCCTTTTCGAGTACTAACATATTTTTGCGGGCCAAATTAGTGCGCATAATCTCACTATTTTTATACAGGAGACGGTAGGTGTCAATTGGAATTTGCTCATCCTCGGGTAGAATTTGAGACACATTTTCGGGCTCCTCTCGTACGGAAGCGGGCACCAGAGCGGACTTTGGCATATTTCGCTCAAAGTCCTTCTCCAACTCCATCGCGCGGAGTGATTTCATTACCACCTCAAGTCGACTCTGCAGCTGCTCTTGTCGTGCTAGCTGCGCCTTAATGACATTTTCCTGCCGACTGCACACCATTTTGGACTCCCTCACAGCCTCTGCGAGAAATTCTTTGTCTTTTTCCATACATGCCAAGCTTTGTGTTAGTGGGATACTCTTCTCTTCTAGCTTCACGAGTTCCTGCTCAACAGGAATGTCTTCGGCCTGCATGCGCTTCAGTTTGGCCTCCAGCTCACGGCATTCACGTTGTCGGACACGGACATCATTGCGAACCTGACCAAGGCGAGCCTGAAACTCCTTATTAAACTCAGCATTCGCGTGGAGCTTCAAAATAGCTTGCTCCTTTCTTTTGATGATGTGCTCGGTGGATTTCATCTCTTCACGTATTTTTGCCTCCATCTCTACGATTTCCTGGATCGCTGCATTTTGCTTACTTACGTCTTGGTCGCTGGTGTTGCCGCGCCATCCTGTTGTGGACGATATCTTATCAATTTCATCTGAAACCTTTTTAAGCTTTTTTGCTCGAGCTTCCAGGAGGCGTTTGTGTGTTTCGTTCTCTCGGCTTAACAGCTGGTTGCATCGCTCAGCAATCTTGAGCTTATTTTCAATGCGAATAATATTGTCCAAAGCATCCTCAGCAGCCAAGTCAGCATAATTATGCACAGCCTTCTCTTCATATTCCTGGATTTGCTGTGTTACATCCTTTTTTTTCTGTTCGATTTCAAGGAGTTGCTCCTCGATTTCCTGCAACTGTGAGGTATACTGTTCAATCGTTGCAGAAATGCGCTCCTGCTCTTTACGTAGGTTAGAATTGTTAACCGTGAACTCCATACTTTTTAGTAGTAAGAGTTTGGAAAAAAGTAGTAGAATTCTCCACTTTTGAGGGGTGTATATTTAGAAAACTGATGTTTAAAGACCTAATGAGCAAGTAGAAAAAGAAGTTGGGAGAAATATAGCATAAACATAATTTCCCACCGACATAGAGAAATCCATTTACGACTGCCGTAAAGAGCTGTCGATATAAACAATATAATCAAGTAAATGTAAAATGCAAGAGGACAGCGAAACACGATAAAATAAAAACGGATAGCATAAAGTCCAAATAATAACACCCTGTCCAAAGCAAGAGAAGATCTAAGTCCCACTGACGGTAACAACGTGTGATAGCAGTGTGGTCTTGAACACCTTTCGCTTCCATTTTAAAAAGTACACTTCCCGACGATGCTCTAAATTCAGCTGCTCAATTATTCCACACATAGTTCGCGTTTTTTGCACATCCCTCACCTTCTGCCACCAAACCCGTATGCAACCGACAAGCAAGATTGTTTCCCTGAGCGTGTCAGCAAGCAACAGGAGCGCTCGGCAGCGGGCGCGAGCACTGGTTCGAGTTCTCCATTTATAAAACAATCGTTGACGATGGTGGATGGCTAGTGTGCGTGCTCCAATTTGGAGGGCTGCCCTTTCCCACCATTGTTGTAGACACCACCGCATTGTCTCTATGTTGTTCCGACTCCGAAATGTGAAATTCAGCCGCCATGTGTAAAAAGTTCGGCTGATGGTATTCCGCGCACAAACACTAGTGGCCATTCCCTCTAAACGCCGTCTATGTAGCTTCTCTCTCCAACAATTTAAAACAGCATGGCATGTTGCATGGTCAAGACGACGACGAGCCATCAAGTCCATCCACCGACGCATTGTAACGAATTGAATTTTACGAATGCAGTACCAACCGCCTCGACGACAAAGATAACGTCGATGCCATTGACGGTAAATACGCCGAATCAGGGTTGTTTGTGCAACCTGAAAAGCCATTTTATCCTTATGGCACCATACCTCTGGTGGTGACGAAATTATATTTACGGTGCGAAAGCGCTGAGATAACGCCCTACCGGTCGCATCGAGGAGGAGCTCACTTGCGGCACAGGTGCAATTTATCAACATAGGAAGAAAGGAAGGAGAATGGGGCGTCGCCTGTGTAGATACAGAAGTCTTATTCCGATTAATTGCCTGCTTGAGCTTTTCAAAAACACGCCACTTCATAAACTGGACGTATCGCGACTCCGCAAAACGAGCCTTTAGACGTTCTTCTGTCTTACCCTTCCAATGTCCATACGCGCAGCGTAATGCATGTGAGCACCGTGACTTTTCGCCTTCTTCGAGACCGTCCTTCGAAGAAAATACAGTTAGATATTGTTTTCTAGGGGCTGCACCGCCACTTCCCACGATATCTGCATCTTTCGAAAATCTAAATGAGTCTGCAGCGCTACTCATTGCACACATTACACGGCGTTTTGTAAATTTGCTGCGCCAATGAAGGAAAAAAAAACGTTGCCGTGTCTCCTTTATGACTGCAATTGCACGAAGACGATCGTTAATCCCTGTGAGAAAACGTTGAATAAAAGTGCGCAGACGTTTTTGGCACTCCACGACAATCTGCCAGTGATCTACGGTACGCTTTAAGAGTGTCCGCTTATGAGATTGACGGACCCGTGCGAAGGTACACCACCTCCGAAGCGTGTTCCATTGGAGGCAGTAGTTACGTCGCCATTGAAATTCCTCGAGGAGGAGGCGCCGCTGATAAGCGCGCAACCTCAGCTGACGCAAAAACAAGACCGCTAGCGCTCGTTTCCTCGCAACCTCCAGTATGAGGAGCGAAACAGATGAACCCACCAGTAAGGGGGATTTTTGATTTGAGGGGAGAACTGCAGCCTCTGTATTATTCTTTTCGATTGCAAGCTTGAGCGCAATGCTACGCAGGGAAGAACTTCGCACGCGCATGTTTCCGTACAATTTTGGTTTCTCCGTAGAGTGTATTAGTCCTGAGCGTCTGGTCTCTTCAATAGCGCCGTGTAAGTCATGATTGAACTGTGCACGCTCTTTAGGGTTCAGCGGCGGTGCTTCTGGAAACCGACTAGTCGGCAGGAAAGGCTTAGCACATGGCAAGGAGCTAGAAGCTTGCTTCATATAACTCCCCTGGCGTGACTTGGAAGAAAACAAACGCAGCCCAGAGAGCTGGGCACTCGAAGGTGTTTGCCCTGCGGCTAGTTGAGCACGGCGCTGTCGTACAGAGAGCGGCTTCAACCCATCTTTGGGGGATCGTCGCTTCTCGGACTGATCCACCTGAGAGCGGGGCAAGATACATTTCCAAACTGCCTGGAAAACTAATGCATCAATGTGCTGTAGTGTACGCTTTGTCTGCGCCACCGCTTCCTCCAGCTTGCGAAGAGTAGGTGTTTCAATGGTGATGAGCTTCGGAAAATTTTCCTCAATCACATCGACAGAAGGGTTTGATATTGATGATACTGGGCTCTCCTCTAGTACAATGGTTACATGTTGACTATGCTTAGAGGAGGAAGCGGTTGAGGGGGCGTACCCTTCCTCCTCACTCTGGTTTGTATCATAGAAGTTGGACAATTGTTTACGAAGATTTTTTCTCATAAAGAGATCTAAAACTTCGAGCAAACGCGGTGCTAGGAACCCGTTTGTGAATGTTAGACCCTAAAGCTTCCCTTAAGAAAAAATTATTGGTAGTAATCGAAGTGAGTATAGATTTGATATACCTGTATTTAAAAATGAGATCATAAATCTTCACTAAACACGCTATATGTGCTGAAATAGGCTAAGTATAAAAATACAAAATATATTGGAAGTTTGAATGTAGAAATCCAAAAAAAAAACATGTATCCTCGGGAAATTTCTGCATTCTAAATAGACACAAGACTAGCACCTGAAAAGAAGGAAAAAAGACCTCATTCGTATTCTGTAGAGCTGTTGATAGTAACAAATGAACATGCACACAAATCATGACATGATCGGGGAAAAAGGAAGAATATTCAAACAAGAATACGTCTAAACCCTTTTTCCGACATTAAGATCAAGGATTTTCCTCTTTGATAAACATAGAGATAACAGAGAGAAAAATGGAATCTTGGCTTCCAGCTTATTATGCTCCATTACGATGGGCATCCCATTTTTTGGCTGCTCATCTGTGCTCTATTTGGTACTTCATAGGCATGTGCACGTATTTATTTACCAGATATATTTGTGAATATATGGGCATGAATGCATGTCAATCATTACTGGAATAGAGGGGGGAAAACAATTGGGGAGTCAAAATTGATGTCTTGGGGAAACGATCGCCAGCCGCGTATCCAAGAGGGTGCCTCTAGATATGGCACAGCATCCTTGCTAACAATGTTCAACTTGTACACAACTTCACCCTCCCAGCTCAAATTTGGTCCAAAACCAAACAACAGGTGAGGATCCACTACCATAACAGACCCCGCGCGAATGGCATCCATGTTATCTACGAACTTTCCCACCACACTTGAATTCAAGCAAAAATGCTTTACCTGACTGGCGACATGCGATTCTGCAGGTGGAAAGGGAGAAGACAAATTACAAGGAGGTACATCGTGAATATACTGCTTCACAATACAACGATGTGAGTTCTCCATCACAAAAAGAGGCAACTTGCTTGAGCTAGGGTCAAACGTGAAGAGAACAAGCGTCACGGCGTTGGATATACCATGAGTGTTTGTTCGAACTCCTATCGACGGAGCCGTAATGTGATAACCGATTGGATTACCAAAAGCCTCCCGCAGCAATGGGATGTCGCCAAATATGACGGGTTGCTCCACACCCCCGACGAACTCTGACAACCTTGCAAGCGACGTTTTAAGACGTACATCGGACTGCAGTATCGTTCCTAAGGCTGGGTTCGTCATCCAAGCATTCGCACGATATTTATCGATAGCAGCTAGCATCTGGGGGTCATTATCTACGGTGCTTGTGCAATGTCTGACGCTAGACAGCGACACTGCCTCTTGCGCAAGCTGTTTACTAAGCTCCCACAACTCATCACCAGACAGTAAAGCCATGTCTCGACCATTGGAGTATTTCTTAGCTATCCTTCTTAATTTTACCTTGTTCTTCATAGCTTGCTTAAAGTGGCGCAGAACGAAGTTACGCTTCTCAAGCTGGAGCTTCAATTGTGAGTCTACTATGCGGTTGGGGCGTTGTGAGTGGACCTGAAAGATACTCTCTAATGATGGCACTTCTTTGAATACAGCAGGTCGAGCCCGTGTTGCGATTAAAGCTGCATCTCGAAGTTTCGTGACTACACTTGGTTCAATGACATTGTGAAGGATGGCATAACCCTTAGCCAAAAAACTCTGTCGCGCAGCTAATAAAATCTGCATCAGGATTAAGAGTATTTTCCTTTTTTATTATTGCATGAGCTTGAAGTGGTGGGCATAACCTTTCCTTACTTAAAAGAGGGAAAATAACAAGAACATGAAAAGAAACAGAATAAAGAAATTAACTTCTGTGTGGAAGGAGGAAAACATGCCCAAACATTTGATTATCGGTCTTTCAATCCATTTAGGTACATCTGAAGATATGTTCTATGCTTGGAAGAATCAGTCTACCTTTTCCTCAGATACTCGAAAGTGGCTAGACGACGCTCCGCACAAAATACGGATAAAGCACCCGCTGAAGTTACTTGGAGGAAAGGGTATAATGCTTCCCATCTGTGCACGCTACACTGCCCTCGCTCAACAATGTTTGCATAATAGTTTTTATGTCTGTAACACGCACTGTGAAGTCCACAAACTTCTTCACACTGTTGTGGATATCGCTGAGTGACTGCGCGGCAGAAGTTTTAAGCTTTGATATGATCATGCGAGTTATAGCCTTAATCTGTAGCGGTGAAAGGCCACTCGACTCTTCCTCACCTTTATGGTCACTGTCGTCATTTTTGAAAACAATATTGGAAGCATTCGAAACAAATTTTTGAATGGCGACATGCGTGCTGCCAGGATATATCGTGACAACGGATGGAGATAAGTTCACCAGACAGGGCATCAGCTTTTCAACGGTTGAGACACCGACCCGACTCGCCAACTTATCAATGGAAATGGGCACACTAGTACCCTTATCGCTGCTGTTTCTGGTGCCGTCTCGCGTCGACACCGTCACCTTCGCTTCCAGATCTCTTAGATGAAGCACAACCGATGCGGCAAACAGCGGCAAGATGTGCGAAACCGTCTTCAGGGCATGACCCTGTAACGGATCCAATAGATCCACCTCCAGCACCACACGACCTTGAGAAAGTATCCAGTTTAGTCTTTGATCAAGTTTAACCGACTTGAAGTTGGCCGCGAGGTAATCAAGTTCCTTCTGCAGAACAGGATGCACAACGTACTGGTCCGGGACAGCAACAGATACGCCAAATGAAAAGCAATGAGAAAGTGAAGGCCATGCAGTGAGAGAAAGCACATCAACGCTAACCGCGTCAGGTAGCAAGGTGGTTTGTCTGGAGAAGTTTTCATCTGTAACAGTGTTCGTGCTCAGACCAAGAGGTGGGGACGTTTTATTGAGTCTTTTCTCTTGAATTTGATGGGTCGTGCGCTTCGACATCTGCACATCCCACAGCATCACTGCACAGTTCAGCAACACGTCTTGTCCTAGCACACACTTTAGGCGCTCCAGCATTTCTTCCTCAGAAGTCGTATCGAACGTGTGTATTGTGCGCTCTAAAAGCCCCTGAGCCAAGGCTTTTTCGTATTCGTGTGAGAGGGACTTGACGGAAATCGTCGCCAGGAGGACTCGCAAGGTATCAAAAGCTTTTAGCGTGTCATCTTGTCGGTAGTCCGCGCCATCACCATAATATTCATCGTCATCATTAATATCCCGCAAATTGAGACCGGCGTCTTCTTCTTCACGTTGGAGATTCGACTGCGCATCGTCAATAGCCCCCGAAGCATTGCCGTTGGGTTGCGTTATTAATTTTATTATCTCCGGAATGCAATCCTTGCGTCGTCGGAGGTGCTCCAACGTGTCTGAAACTACTGTGAAGAGAAGAGCTCCTTGTTCACTGCGAGTCAGTAGAACACACAAAGAGCTGATGGTCTTCGACAACACTTCTAAAATATCCTCCGTACTGATGCCGGCGCGATGCAAACGTGAAGCTAGAAGATTCCGCACGTATTGCAAAAGCTCATCTTTCAAGTTTTCATCCCGAGAGGTGTGTAGGCAATATCGAATATCCTGTAGAGTGGGTATGGAGTCAGGGTACTCAACCATAATATCCCAAAAGTTACGGATACGATTCCGTGCGTACAAAATGAAATTTTTTTTCCTAAAGTCCTCACACCAGCGCTTCTTTTCAACACTTAAAGTTTTATTGGTAAACTCGACCGATAGACTCGATTGCATGAGCTCTTTGTGATACGAAGAGGATGCGAATTTATGAGTCTCATGACTATCGCACACTGGTGGCAAGGCCATGTCGATGAAGGGCTCGACCACTTCTTCTTCCCACGCAATGCACTGCTTGATGAAATGTTTGTTGTAAACATCCTGAAGAGAGTTAATTCGGTCTTGTACACAGGCATCAAGGATGGACCGCCAGAGTGTCTTGATCTCTCGTGAACTGCTAAGCATTAAACCGTGCAAACATTCAAACACCATATCACGTGGGGGAGCTGAGGACAGTTTCGCTAATCTTCCAAAAAGGTGTACATTATTTGATACACATTCCTCGTCCTCATTCTCTCTAGTTTCCTCCTTGATATTACTTTTCGCCAAGTCTTTTGACAAAAAAGTTTCCGCATGCCGTGTGAGAAACTCCATGAACTCTGGCTTCCCCAGGGGTTCTTCACCAGTGAGAAGATCCGGCTGTAAAAGAAAGCACCACACAGCTGCAGCCAATTCACAGGATACATCAAGTACTGCTAGTCTCTCGCAACACTCCTGTAACCTCAACTGAACACATTGAAAGGCGAAGTATAAATGCTGAAGCGCAGTGCTTATTGAACTCAATGTAGCGTGAGGATCGACTAAACTCGTCTGAAAACTTTCGAGATGCGTCTGCAAACTCGTGAAGGCCTTCTCTACTAGCGCTTGAGCCAACATAGCGTTGGCAGGTGGTGTTGAAAGGACTGACAAGGCAATTTTCCAATGCACCCAGTCTTCATTTGAGGCATACCAGACGGATAAAACGTCAGTGTCATCGTTGAAGCGTTCAAAAAAGTTAGACACGACTGCCCATGCATCATCATCATCCATATTTTGCTGCTTTAATGGATCTTAGTCGGTTATTTATCTTGCCAAGATATAAAATACAAAAGAAGGCACTGTGAGCCCCGGTATGATGATAAAAACGTGACCTATTCGAAGCAGTATGAAAAAATTTTGACTTATGAAACTTCCTAAAATAACAAGAAAGACGAACTATGTCGTCATAATTTTTACTAAAAAAATACACTGTTGGGAAACAAGAGAGTTTGTTTTGCACTGTTAGTACCGAGTGTCCAAATGTGGAACATTCAGAGTTTCAAAGTAGCATATTTAAAATCATTTCAAAATTAGGAAAAATTTAAAACAAAACTTACAAACTGCTCATCAACCC